ATTCTTTTGCCTCTTTTCTCTATTATCTTGCCAACTTCTATTTTGCCTTTGTTTTTTATCAAGATCTATTCCTTCCTTTTCTATTTGCACTTATAGTAACTGATGCTATTTTCGGGCTTAGGTTGTTTGCTAACTGGGTCTGAAAGGTGGATTTGGCTTTTCGACAAGTTTTGTCTAGAAGAACTGCGTTTTTTATTTTTGCAAACCAATTGGTACTTTGCTAGCTGCTTTCAACCTTTTACACTTCTTAATCTGCTTCTACGTAAGTAGGTTGAGACCTTCATTATTAAGAAGCTGCTCTATAACAAAAAGCTCTATTTCTTTCTCTTGAGTATAGTCTTTTATCTGTTTTTCTTCGAGCAAGTCTAATATCTCTGTACCCTTTTCTGTGAACTCAAAGCTTTTTTCCATTTCTATTGATCTAATGCTTATGTTTAGACATTTTGTCTTGGTTATGATCTTGTAAGCCAGGTTTTGTTTGAGATTGACTTTTTTTAACCTAGCCAGGTCTAGTTCCAGAATACACTTGGTACTTTTGCAGTTGATTTGTGCTTGTTGTATTTTGATCCATATTGCTTTGCCCAGTGTTGGCACATTGTCATTTTAAAATAAATGACAGCATGTCATATGACAAGTCATTTTTGTCATAAAAATAAATTATTTTTTATGACTATATGTTATTTATATGTTATATAGTTTTTATTAACCAATAAAAATCAATAAAATATATAACTAAGTAATATATATCACGAATTTTTAATAATATAAATTCACAAAATTAATTCTGCATTCAAACTTTATAACATTATGAGATTATTAAATATAAACTTGGATGAATCATTAATAAAATTATCTTGTTAGTAAATTGAAACAAAAAATCAGTAAATTGATTGTCAGTAAAATAAACTACTAATTTTTTTACTTACATATCTATTGCACTAATAATATCTAACTATATATACATCGTGTTAAATAATAATAAACCTTTGTTATTTATTTGTCATTTATGATGTCATTTATAAAAATAATTTTAATGATTTGTCATATTGCCAAGACTTAATACAATTTATTTTTAGGAAAAATAACATTGTCAATTTAAAATAACATGTTATTTATGATCATTTTCATAAAAATTTTTATAACTTTGTCATTTGCCAACACTGGCTTTGCCAGTATCATTTTGACAATGCATGTATTTATAAAATTTTGTTATATGATGGGCCATTTGATTTTGCCAAATCGTTTTCAAGCCAGCTATGTTTCTGTATACTAATACTGCATTTGCTGTTGTAATAGACAGGTCTGATTTGTTTTTTATCAACTTTACTAAAAAGCTTTGCAGTCTATCACACTGACTTCTCAATAGTATACAATGCTAAAGTCTATATTCGAGTCTTGGTATTAGTACTCTGTTGTTAATATATATTAATTGTGCTAGAGTTATACTTTTTTTGCGAATTGCTTTTATCACTACATTGATCTCCTTCTTTGCAGTTTCGATAGTGTGATACTGACTAGATTTTTTCAAGAGCCAGATGCCTAAAAACCTTGCTGTTTTGGTTATTTTTTTTTCTGTCACCTTGTTTCTTGCAGGCCCTACTTATAGATATCTGGGGTTCTTTTCTTTTTTCTCACCTACTATTAGAAGCTCAGACTTTTTGCTATTTATTTCAATATCATTGAGCTTGTAGATTTTCTGTGCAAAATTTCAAGTATCTCTTCAAGTTCTTGCTTATTGGCTGTGATATAGGTAGTATCATCGGCATATGCAATTACCAGAACTCTTAAACTCTGTCACATAGTGATATTTTTGCTAAAGCAGACAGGCCAGTTTATCTCCAATTCATATCCTCGATTGCAATTTTCTTGCAACTCTGCTAGCAAGGGGTCATAAAAGATTTACCAAACCAAGAGAGATATCACTTCTCTTTGATCTATTCTATCTCTAGCTACAAACTTCTCTGTTGTACCTATGCTTGTAATGATCCCCATTTCGTGGTTTTCATATAAGTTGATTATAAAGCAAACTATGGTTTCTGAAATCTTAATTCTATCTAGTGCAAGCTTAAGCATCTTAAGTTCTACAAAGTTTTATGCTTTTCGCATATCTTAGAACATCAACCATATTTCTTTTTTCTTCTTTTTTGCTTCTTCTAGAAGGCAGTTTATCAGATATACAGGTGCTGTGGTACCTTCTCCTGGTAGGCCAGCAAAATTTCTGCTTTTTAAAACCTTTTTTCCTCTATTATTCTTGCTAACCTGTTCATTACTATTCTTACTACTGTTTTTTGAAAGGACTCTAGTAGCAAAATTAGGCGTACATTGTTTAGATTATAGCACCATTTTTCTGTTTTCATTATTGGATACAAGATTCCAAGCTTCTATTTTTTCAGCATCGTGCCATTTTTGATACACTTTGTAGCAAAATTACAAAACACAGAGTTTGTATATTCTCCTGCTCTCTTGATTAAGAGGTAAGTAATACCGGATGTACCTGAAGCTGACTTAGCTTTTGCTTGTACCAGAGCTACGTCTTATTCTTCTTTGCTAATCTCTCTTGTGGTATCTGCGAACCAGGCTTTATCTGTATCCTCTCTTGAGGTATATTGCTTTTTCCACTTTGTAGATAGCTTATTTGGGTTTATTATGTTTCTTTTGCAAAATTGCTTTGCAAAGTGATTCTTAACCTCTTCTAAAATCTCAGTTGGCTCATAAATTAGCTCTGGCTCCCCTTTATTGTTCTTAACTACCCTGTCTATCTTTATTTTCCTGCTCGGGCGATCTAAAATACTATTCAGCATTTTCCTCTAATTTGAAATGATTAGACCATGTCTTTTCTCTATGCAGTTTCTTACCGCTATTTCTTTCGCTTTTTTAATTCTTTGTCTCCATTCTTTATATATAATTTTGGCTCAGCTTCTAAAATTTTCTATATTTACAATGTCTAGCCTATCTAATGAATCTATATCTATAATTGAATTAATTTGTTCTAATACTATCTTTTTTTCTCTAAGCTTAACATGCCTTTTTTACTCTTGTGATGGCTTTTAGTACATGCTTTAATAGCTAGTCTTAGTGCACATATTTTTTTGTCCTCCTTGCTAATCTGCTAGATCTCAGAAGTTTTTTTTCTTTTTGGAAGACTTTTGTTTGCTGCTATTTTAATGCAGCTTTCTATAATATCCCACTCCTCATCAAGGTTTTTGAGCTTGTTTTTGCACCAGTAGTCTTTTAATTTTTTGTTAAGTACTTTTTGAAATTTCTTCTATTTTTTTTTAGAGGCCTCACTTATATCAATATTTACTCTTTTTCTGTATAGACATTTTCAGTTTGCAGGTTTTGTATTTTTTATCTTCAGGCTAGTAAGAATGCTTGCTCATATAAGCTTGTAGTCACTTCCTGTGCAAATTGATATATCATCTACTTTGGTACTAACTATACTGCATCTTCATTGATTTGAGACCTGTATGTAATCAATTTGGGCCTTTGTGTTACTGTTTGACCATGTTGGTATTTGTATAAACTCTTGTACATTGAAGAACTGCCTCTTCTCGAGCACTTGTATTATTCTTTTCTTGAAATTTGTTATATATTTTGTACTTGAACTATCAGAATCATTACTTGCAGGTTCACCTAAATTCGTATTTAAATCACTTAGTACCACATATCGTTGTGGTTTTCTTCTATGTTAACATATACAATATTTGAGTTTTTGTAATATTTTTTTCTGTACTGCCTTGTCATTTGGAGCTACATATATGTATATGATATTAATTGTAATATCTCTAAAATCTAATATCAGGCTCAAAAAGTATGGATTGTCTCTGCTCTGTGATGCGATATGCTGCTTCCATCTTTTTTTGATAAGAACCCTGAGTCCAGATCCTTTCTTCTTATTTTCATCACAGTCTGTCCATATACTAATATATGATCATTGTCTTTTATTGCAAAAAAATCTTCTTTTTTGCTGATATTTGTTTTTCCTAACCCAAGTATATCTATCATTTTCTCTTCTGCATAATCTATAATTGCTTTCAACTTGTTCTTATTGTCCTTTATACCATTAATGTTGTAAAACCCAATGTTTATCATGCAGAACTGCTCGTATCTGTCCTCTTTACTCAATGTTTCCTACCTAACTTCTTCTTCTGGGGACTTACTCTTACCTTCTCTTTTACTCTCTTTATTTCTCTTAGAGGAGTTTATTATTGCGCCTGGAGCGCCTTTAGGATCAATCCACAAGAACTACTCTTGCAGATATTGTTTGAGATAAACTACTTTGATCTTCTAACTTGTCGAGTCTACCCAAGATTTGTAGCAGCATGCTGTGAACCGAGTTCTTATGGGTTTGTCGCTTTTTATTTGCTCCCTCTCTATCATTTCTAAAGTTAGACTTCATACTCTCTTTGTTTTTGTTTCTTTTCTGATAGACATCTGGGTGAAACCAAGTTACTGCTTGTTTTATTTTCATTGGTCTTATTTGATGTGTATGAGTTTTCTTTCCTCTCCTTTATACTACTCTCGTTTTGATTAGTTGGGCAATTTGTTGTACTTCCTCTATTGCTTATAGGTTCATTTTTCAGATCCTCTTTTATACTATTTGATGCACCCCAATCTAGTTTTGTATTGTAGTAGTACATTCTTTTCGTAAGAGCTACCAGGAGCTCCTCTTCTGACTTGAAAAACACTAAGACTATGCTTTTTTAATTCTTGTTGCAATTATGTGAGATGTATACTGCTTGTGCTTTTACTAGTTTTAGCTGTTTTAACCGCATCATTTCCAAAGTTGTCTTAGAGATATTTTTTAATACTGCTTTGTATTTTCCTCTTTTGTCTAAGATGCTTCTATCGAATACCCCTTCAGAGAGTCTTAGCATTTTCCCCTCTTTGAAGTATATAGCCCAAGCTTTTGTAAATAGAGCTTTTCTTCTTTTGTTTCAAAAAATTATGCTAAATGAGACAGCTTTTTTACCTCTAAAAATTTTCAGTGCCTAAATTGCACTCAACTATAAAAATGCAAGCATCTTTGAGCTCTTATTGCCTTGACTTCTACTAGTATGTCCTATAGAGTATACCATATTTTAGAAGCTTCTATGCCTTTTTCTATTCTCTTTGAAGTTTCTTTGATGCTATTTTTCTCATATTCGTTTTGGCTTTTCATATTTATCTCTTCACTAGCCGTAGATTTTGTATCTTGTACAATTGGAATAACTGCAATTTTAGCTGAATCCTCTTTTTTTTTACAGGTTTTTTTGGCATCTCTTTTCTTCACTGCTGAGCTTGTACTTCTCTTTCTTGTCAGAGTTTCAGTTTTAGACTGATGTAGCTTTAATTTCTCCTCGACACTATAGTCTGCTATGCCGCATTCTTGTTCAATTAAAACCTCTTTGCTTTTCTCGATTTTGTTAAAGTTTATTAGGTTTATCAATCAAGAATTCTTGCCTTTTTTAATTCTTAAATATTCTAACCAATCATAGGTTTCAATTAAGCATCTAAACATGTATATAAGTTGAGGTTTGGCTCCTACAAATGCTGCTATTTCATTATCTTTTCTCTTTATACTCCTCTTTGAGTATATTAAAATCTTCAGAAATTTTCTAAAGATGTCTCTATACTTGTTGATTTTGTGTTCCCAGTCTATATCTGAGTTTTCTAGTTGTTTAGTACTCATTGTGTACTCGTGCTTTGAGTTATAGGACATTGCTTTTGGCGTTTATTAGTAAATTCTAGAATTTATCTTGAGTATATATTGTACGTGACTTTATGTGTTTCTCACATGTTTTCATGTATAATCTTTGTGCAGTTGCTTTTGTGTTGCTATGTAACTTTGTATGTAATACTTGTATTATTTTAGAGATCTGTACTACAGGAATAATGCTGTTTTCCATTTATACAAAACTAAGAAAAGGTTTGGCTAAATACTGAGATATTCATCTAGTTTGCTCTATTAATCAGAGAGCTAAAATGTCTTGAAGCTTAATTTGATTTTCTTTCTCACTACCAGAGAGTTTTGTTGCCTTTGTTGAATTAATCTCTGGTTCATCTGAGTTTTGTTACTATATATTTTTTTCAAACAGAAACTGCTATCTTTCTACTTGTTTAACCTGCTACTATAGTATAGGCTGGTGTTTTTGATCTTTATTTTATGTCTTGTTAGGTCTATTGTTGTATTTGTAGCCTAGTTTTAGTGTGGTGTGTGTTTTTAGTCTTCTGCTATTTTTGTGCTAAGTGATCGTTAGAGAGAGTTCCATTCATTTCTGTTTTTTTAGGTTTTAGATATTTTATAGATTTTTTTTTCTTGATATATGCTTTTAAAGCACATATTTTTTTTTAAAAAAGTATAATCTAGATCTTATACTAGTTACTATTAATAAGAGTATAATAGTAGCTTTAAACAACTTTAATAGTCAGGTTAGTTAATTTTCTTGCTAGAGATTTTTGTTATTCAATTCTACCAATTTTTCAGTTCAATTTAGATTTGTTTCATGGCACTATTAAAGATCTTTACTACTTTTTCACTTAGATTTTTCCAAGCTAATTTCAAATCTTCAAGTTCTTTTTATTAGTTTTATATGATTTCAATTTATATAATATAAATGCTTCTAGAATTTTCTAGTGTACAAATAGTACTGTTGTAACCAAAGTTATAAATAATAAAACCTAACTTATTAATAAAGATCCATTACTATAACACAAGTATTTTTGTTTAAACTATTGCTAGTAGAATTTAAACTTGGTATTTTAGTTACAAACTAGCTTGGAAGTATAACAACACTACCACTATACTAAGTTATCACACCCTTACTATATTTGTTTTATTGGTCCAGAGTATAGTAAAAAACTCCAGTATTTACATCAAATAATATAAAAATTATGTTTTTTGATGCATTTAGCTACCATTTTAATACATTTGCATATATATTATGAAAATTATATCAGAAATTTAGGTTGAAAATTTTTTGTCCATCTGCATGCATGTTCAAATTTGTCAATTTAGTGTAACAAAATCACGCGTTTGTGTAACGAGATGATCATTATATGATATGCTCCAGATCTAACATTAACCATAGCTGCCGTGGACCGGCAGATCCTCGATTTTGATTGGCTAACGGCCGAGGATCTTCGAAAATTTGGCCCACATTACAAAATTGGTTA